CCATCACTGGTGAATTGATATAAGAGTTAAAATATTGACATTATTTAACTGAATCCATTTCTTTGAATTAAAAAAAAGTGTAAATTCTTCTTCTTGTAAGTTATTTTCAGTAAAATTCCCGCAACACCATGAAGTACGAGAATGTTGTGTTCATAATCTGAAATTGGAGTAAATAGAATGAAATACAATTCAAAGGCGATGTTTACACCCAACACATTTGCACACTTTTAACACATGCCAACCTTTTTGAACATTTCATGTGTGCAGTGAGTTTCTGCGATTCCCTGCAGGTGTACTTCCTTTAAAGCAAGCTCAAGAAAGATCAGCACATCCTTTTGCAAATCCAATGGCAGATTATACCAAGCAAGTTCATACACCGTATGATTGACTTCTTGAAAACGATCCGTCGTATAATTACCAGCAAAGCAAAAAATAAACAACCAAGTTGATGCCAGTCCAGTTGGTGTCATTACTTTTAGTATGACCAAAAAATTCACATTCGCAAGAGACTTGCTCAAAAAGTGCCATGAAAAAGGAATTGCAGAAAATGTAAAAAAAAACTTTGATAGAATTGAATTGACATTAACTTACCGCATTCAATTGCAAAAATAGACTGCCAAAAGCAATAATTGTGAAAATCATATAGGTGAAAATGAGGCCACGATTATCATTCGAAAAATTCAACATATACCTAAGAAAACGGCGTCGAATTTGTCAGTATTTTTAGTTTTGACTTTGGTGTGTTTATACTTAACTCTTTTGCTACGAAATAAAATTCCATAATGCCATACTGTTTCTTCCGCAATTCGACATATTGTTCTTGTGTAAGGTTATCAGGTTCCAAAGCAATGAGTTCTGCATTCAAATCGAAAAGTTGTCTCTTAATGTCCGAAATAAAAGCTGAGATGAAGAAACAAATTCCCACAACATAGCCCACGGTGCACAGCAAAATTTCGGCCGTTATAAGTGTAGCCGATGCTTGAATAAAATATGCAACCAAATAGCCGACCGGTGTTCGGTAGTTAAATGGAAACCTTGAATGAAATGTGATTACAATATATTTCTTTTTCTCTAATTGATTGAACATACGTTCCTGGAAAAATGAGTAAAAAAGAGTCTTCCGATTTGTCCAAATAAAAGTACATAACAACTGACACCATAAAGCTCGGAACAATAAACATACCGGTGCATACAGACATTAGGAATTTATACGACAGTCTAAGCATTGTTTCCATTTGATAGTCAGTTTTTTCGTAGAGTGCTTTGCTGCCATCATTTTGAATTTCTACAAAATTGGAGTTAGTTTTTTTGTGTAAAAGCGACAATGACTGGTTTCAATATTCTTTTCAAAAAAAAAAATTGAAAATCTTTGGCAGTTCATGCTTATGGGATATCTAAATCTCCGATGATATTTTCATGAGATATTCAATATTCAGATAGCTGATGAACTGCTCTGAAAAATTATTAACAAAATGAGTAATTTACTTACTTAATGCAATTATTTCCTTGAGTTCAGCAATGTGAGCACGAAAGCGTTTTTGTTGCATCAAATAAATCGTGTACCACGAAAAGAAAAGCGTCGTACAATGTGTTAGATAATAAAAAACTTCAACATATTCACTGAATATTTGGGCCGTAAATACAAAATAACACACAGACGATGCTAAAATCAATATCGAAATGCCATAAAAACCACACGCAGCTAGGATGCCATACATTTTGTCATGAAAGTTGACATTTGATTGGAATAATCCCAATCGATAGAAATGTTTAATCAACAGATCCAAAGATTTCATGATTGGAATCGCTTTGATGAAATCAAAATGTTACTTTGAAACGAACTGTTTTTGTCTGATTGCTTCCGGCGTTAAGATAGAACTGTAGTAATCGACTCATTGGACAAATGCATTTATAGCCGAATTAGTTGGAGAATTTGTGAAATTACCACGATACATACATTTATTCACTAGCGAATAAATTCATTATTTTTATATGAACATTTGTCCGTATTTTATTTATTTAAATGCTTGATTATTAATGCCGATTCGATAATTGTATATGATGCAAACGAATTGCATATGCATTTAAGCACATAACCAGAGCCGTTTTTGGCACCGGAGACTTGCGGGCACTAGTTTCGGCACTTATTCCATACAAGTTTTTAAGTGTCGCACCTGAAAAGAGCCGCATGTACAAGAAAGGTGCCCGCACCAGAGTTTCTATAACAGCCCTGCACATAGCGGAGGAATTAGAGTTGTCAATATCCATGCCGCGATTAAAATTGCATTAAAATTTGGCGAATTTTTAAAATGACCTGGATTAGACCGGCCGTGATTTATCATTTTTGAATGCTGCCACCTTCGATATTTCGCGCACTCAACGTTTTTTCGCGCCCAGTCTAACCCCGATACTTTCATTCACTAGCGAATAACTTCATGACTATTTTATGAGCATTTATCCACATTTTATTTATTAAAGCCTGCATTTGTTAACAAAGTCGTATCAAAAATCATAAAAACAATCGATTAAGTGCATTTCAAGTGCATATAAGAACATACTGGAAGAATTTGAATTGTGGAACGGATGGACAAAAATAACTTCATCTTTTGACGTCCATAGAAAAAAAAAACATCCACGTTCCGGACTTTTTAAAAGTTTTATATAGGACCTCATCTCAGAAATTAGGCGGTCTACTGCTGTACTTTTCGTATGAATATTTTGTATCTATTAAGGAGGCTTAAGTGGAGAAACATGTCCATTAAGGTAAATTGAGAATGACACCAAATATACTAGGCTTACGTGGTCCTTTAATTTTCATTCAAAATAAGTTCAATTTGTGAATATGAGCTATCCAAAACAATAGACCAACTGGAAATCATTAACTCATAAATCATAATGTGCGGTATTATAATCGATTTTCTCGAAGGATATTCAAAACAATTTATTCGCACGGAAAAAGACGGACAGACAAGATAACCCTTCCTTAACATCCCTAGCATGTAACATGTCGACAAAAAAATAATCGTATGATTCCCAAGTCATGGGAAGCAAAACACATGATTGAAAATTGAAGTAAAATGAAATTAATTAATTATTTGAATACATGTGCACTGAATTTTCACATATAACAGAAGGTTAT